AGTATTTCATTGTGTAGTAAAGTTGATATGAAGCTAGGTACTGCAACAGAAGATAGATGGCATGTAACTAATCACTTCATCCTTTAACTTGAATGAGAATTTTCACATCAAAGAAAAATCATAGAAGAAAACAGAAGGAGAAAGAAAAAGAGACCACCAAATATAACTATAAAGTTCATACATATTGGCACATAAGTAAAATAATAGCTAAAGTTGTGATACAGGCCTGTATCTATTATAAGGCAATTTTACAATTAATAATGTTACTTTAGCAATTACATGTGCCAGTTGGAATCAGCTGATATAATGTAAATAAAAGTACTATATATATTTTTTATTACCTATTATTAAAAACATAATTGAAGAATTTTGAGATCTTACAGGGAAACTGAAAGACCAAAATCAATATTATGTTTTGTTTATTTTGTAGAAAAACTTTCAGCTCTTTGCAAAAATAAACACTATGATGATTCTAAGATCATACATAGAGCATCTTTACCTTATAACACAAAAATTCGCAAAATTCTTAAATGATGCCTTCATCTCCAACAGAACAGTAGATGGTAGTAGAAAAAGTGGACTTGGTTGAGGCCTAGTGCTTAGCATGCCGGGCTATAGATTGAAAGGTCCAAGATCATCAGTTAAAAATTAGGGATGTCTAATGTCTGAAGTCTAGGTGTCCTTTGACCTGAACAATTAACTCATATGTTTTGTAGGTGCCACTCAAGTTGATAATGAGTACATGTTCAAGGACTGATATGCTATCAATTCTCTACTGCCACCAAAATCTTAAGTTTGTGAGCCCAACAGACTGATTTTGGAGATATCAGAATACTCTCAGTCTACCACTACACCATTTATATGTCTTTTTTCTTGATCTTCATCAAGATGTAAGATACTACATACAATGAAACCAGTCTAACAAAAACACCTAAAGGAATTTAAGATATTACACGTTTCCATTTTTAAGAGTAAACCATCTGTTTTTACTGAAACAAGTAAACCATTAAAAATGCAGATCTGCAAAAAGAAAGCAAAGGAATTTAAAGAATATTGGTCCAAATACTGAAAAGAATGAACATTACTGTTGTTGTTCTCTTTCTAAATCATTATCCTATATTTCATGTAAAATCACCAATCTGTTATCACAAGGGCTGGATGAATTTTATGGAATAAATTGTGACTGTGTGACTGAGTTGTCATTTCTCTGATTGGAACCTAAGTCATTTCTGAAAAACATACATAAAATTTTACATAACCATAGGACAAAATAATCAATTAATTTTATATAATCAAAGAATCAAAGGCAGCCAAGGAATTGTTAATTTGGTTTATTTTTATATCATTGAATGCCAACTGATTTAAGCTGGAACACCTATAACAGTTCTAAACACAAAGGACACTCATACATAAAAACATATATGTACACAATCTTCTAAGTTAAATTCAAATATATAAATTGAAGAATGATTATTTAGTGAGTCACACAAAAAATAACATTATATGATATTCAAGTAACTTTATTTGTGTCGTGAGTCAAACACAAATTGATGATGTGCCAAATATTTAATTGATGAAGCTTATTCAGTAAACCAATTAAACTCAAAATAACAATAATCCAGTAGGTGTAACATAAAATGACATAATTTCATAAGCTTAAGTAACAATACTTTTAAAATAATAAGTCAAACACATAAATAACATGATGTCACATATTTCAGTAACGATGCTTGTGAACTGATCAAATCAAATACAAAATGACATACCAAGTCACAGACTTAAGAAACAAAAGAATATGGTGTAATACAATTAAGAAAGGATATTTATATAATAACATAAACACATGAAATTATACCATCGATTTCAGTAACAATGCTTATATAGTGTGTCAAACACAAAATGACATATGAAGTCACAGATTTTAGTAGGAATGTTAAGTACAAAATGACATTCATAAGTCTACTAAGATTGTTGATGCAATCAGCCAAATATGAATTACATTTTATCATAGATTAAGTACAACACTTTTGTTGTGGCTCAAAGACAAAATCACATTATGTCACAGATTTAAGTAAGAAAAAACAAAACAAAATGGCATTATATCAAAGATTTAGTTGACAATGCTTACACAATTTTGTTATAAGAGATACGGATGATATCATAAAATTAAATAATAATGCTTATGTAGTGAGCCAAATATAAGATGTCATAATAACACAGATTTAAGTATTGTTACGTCTTCGTTTGTTAATTGATTTCCCGTAAATTCGTTCCGATGAAACTTTAGCGACACAAGTCCTTACTTAATAAAACTGGTTTATTCTTTTCGAATATAACTTTACGATACACTTAATTTCAACAATCATGCTAAAACAAACGCTATAACAATGAACGTGCTCAACTTCAATAATACTCTCTGACTGCAGATCAATTACTCACTGTCTACACACACATTGTCACGTCACGCCATGACCATCTTATATATATCAGACCACCCCCCAATCTAGTAAATGCTAAAGCACTCCCGAAAGAACGGGATAGTTCTAGAAAGCAGGTGGCGTGACATTAGTCACGTGACCTCGCTGACGCAACAATATTGTTACAACAGTGGAAGTCAGGTGGCACTAGTAGCGTGCATGAAGTTTCTCGAATTATCGGGGAAGACCGAGTTTGTTCGAGATGCCCTCTTTTTTTAGTACATAAGCCTGGCAGAGAAAGCCAACAGGAAATAATAAAGTGTATGTTTTGTACTTGTCGAGAGCGAAGTTATCGAGATTGTGAATCACTGTGTTTTATAGCGTGTATTATAAAAGTTGTTAAGTTTAAAGTGATGAGAAATGTACTGACTGTGGAATTACTGCATACTAAAAGTTTGTATCGAGAAAGAATAAACTGGGTTAATCAAGAAGGGACTTGTACTGCTGAAGTTCCTCGGAAAGAATTTATACCAGAAATTATCAAACACACAAATATGTAACAGTATCAGTGCCTATACAAGTTAAACACATAACAAAATTACCTGTTATTTCAGCAACAATGTTTACATAAGGAATCAATGGAAAAACATTATAATACAGATTTATGTACTGAGTTGAATGCAAAATAATATGCCACAAGTTTAAGTAGCAATGCTTATTCCATTATTCATGAGTAGAAAATGATTTATCATAGAATTAATAACGTTTATGCAGTGAACCAAAAATAAAACAAAATTTGACTAAAATACTCATGATGTAGTTTAGTATTTATACTTCAGTTTAAAAATAGCTAAAAATGTGAAAAAGTTCTAAAACTGTGTCACTCAATGCTATATGATAATTTATATTTATCATTATCAGACTTAATGAGAATAACTTCTTCTTCTTGAGAGAGAGAGAAAAATAGTTTTTCAAATCAAACAAAACGAATAAACATTTTAAACAGATCCTGAAAAGATGAAGCTGTAGGATTTGATTACAAACTATATCTGATCTGAACCATTTTTAAAATGGTATGAAGGTGAATTTGATATTTATTATACTTAATTACAAGAGTTCTTTTTACTTATAATTACAAATATTGTTTGTAGTTATCTAAAATATTATTTTTCTATTGGAATTTGGTTTATAATACTAAATATATTTGTAGATCTACTCCTTTTTTAGATAAGGAACTTTGTTACATTAAGAAATCTTTAATTCAAGTTAATCACTCTCTAAAATCCATTGTAGAAAGTATTTTAATGCGTTTTTTGAAAAATTCTTCTGAATTAAAAACATATATTCCTTCTTGACCTTCTATTGTTTCATTCCTTTCTGTAATTCAAGGGCTACCTCATAGCATTAAAATAATTTGAAACAATTTAAGCAAACTCTAATGATATTACTGACATTAATGTGGAATTTAACTTCTCTCCTGGTATAAGATGAAATACATTTTTAAACAACAAAATTTAATGGAAAGATTGCCAAGATTTTTATATAAAAGAAGTGAGAAAAAATCTAAACATCCATTTAGATAATAATAAACCTGTAATTAATAAACACCCAGGACCCTGCATCTTTATATGCCCATTATAAATGGTTCTCCTATTTGTAGTATGGAATCAAACCCTATTGATTCACATAATGACTTTTTCCTAGGACCTATTTCTATGTAAAAAGATGTTTGTTTGTTTTTTACTTGAAGATGACAAGTGAACTTTTCAAAGCATTGTGTAACATATTTTTAACTCTTTTTTTTTTCAAACTTTTGCTTATGTAATGTGTCAAATTATTATGTCAAAGATGTAAGTAATAATAAAAATTATGTCACCCAGTAACACAAAAGTGACGTTAGGAGCTTAGTTTTATAATGCTAGAATTCTTAGTTCAGTTCTCATGGCAAATAGAGCACAGATAACTCTGCATTAAAGAAAACAAACAATAAAAATTATATGTCATAAATTCAAGTAACAATGCTTATATATTGTGTCAAACACAAAATTACATTATATTATAAATTTAAGTAGTAGTGTTTAGGTTACGAGCCAAATAAAAATGAAATTATGTCATTGATTTAATTAATGTTCTTAAATCATAAGCTGTACACAAAAGGAAATTATGCCATATTTAAAGTAGCAATGTCAATACAGTGAGCAAAACACTAAGTCACATAATAACATAGGCCTAAATATAGTTTTTAGGTAATACATCAAAGAAAAACTAGAATTTTATCATGCTGTATGGTAAGTCAAACACAAAATTCCACAGTTCTAAATAATATTGCTTAGGTAGTGAATGCAACAAATGACATAAACTGTAACTAAAAAAATCTATTAATAATCAAATTTAATAATTTTTTCATATACATATACATTTGTATTATAGTATTCAAAAAATCACTGCTGCACTATTTTTTATGATACTGATCACTCTTCTCTGTATCAAATAACATTAAAGACACCAGAGAATAACAAACATTTTACTTCATTATACCACAGTGTATATGAATAATTATCAAATTAAATATTATTTACCTACCCTTCAAACTCTAACGTATCATTATAGTTCACAGATTTGGTCACTTCTGTTGTATCTCTATTAAAACAAAGTAAAAAATCACTAAAAATCTGAATTTCTCCAATCAAAAAGATTTACACAGTAATGATGTGCAGTTAAAACATTTATCTCCATAAAATATTTGTTAACAGCAACATTAAATATGGTTAAATCTGGTCACAAACTGTTTGCAAGTGACATCACAACTGTTTGAACAGTCTGGATGTAAAGTTTTTGTTTAACACAGCATGTTAGAACTGTCTAAACTATGCATTTACAAATTAATTGTTATTAAGAACATTTCACAACCTGTTCAATGAACTAGTTACAAAGCTTGTGCTACTAACAGCATGCAGAACTGTTTAGAAAGTCTTTGCTAATGACAGAGTATGACAAAGCTGTTTCAATTATCTAGTAACAATATCTTTGATTGTGAAAGCATATTAAAACTGTTTCAACTATATGGTGTATAAAGTCCTTTCTAATGAAAATATGTTAACAATATTTCAACTACACAGATGACAGAATTTTCCAAATTTGGTCTTAATTTAGCAACATGTGGTGATTTGATTGATAACCTTGTCTTTGTGTCACCTTCTCACCAATGAACTCATCTGCTAAATAACTTACACATAAAAATCTGTAGCATCAATCCTAAGTATTCTTCAAATACATGCATAAATATAGGTTCAGTGTAGCAAGTACAGTACAACTCAAGCACAATATATATATATATTATTTAGAAACCACCACTAGAAGAAGTACATTACAACTACTTGCATTATATGACCACAAAGCTATAACTAATTCCAACTACTTCCACTATCTGACCACATAGTTTTAGTCGATGACAGCACATTACAGCTACTTCAGCTATATGATCACTAAGTTTTAACTAACAATACCATATTATAGCTGCTTCTAATATATAACCACTGAGTTTTAGCTGATGACAGCACATTACAGCTACTTCAGTTATCTGACCACAATGTTTTGACTAATGAAAGCACATTCTGGGGCAGAGCATATAAGAGGTTTGAAAAGGCTCGTCCTTCACTGGGTATTATTCTCACCAACTCAAAAATATCATACCATATATATGGAGAGAGAAAGACAAATATGTCGAAAGATGATGTATGTGAATCATTGAGGAGAGTTTATTCAGTTACAGGCAGAAACTGATTCTTTCCAATTGTGCAACCCTCCACATATGACAGAATAGCCTACCCAAACAAAAGATTCACTTGCTATCTGTGAGTGCATTACAACTACTTCACCTATCTGACCTCAAAGTTTTCGGCAATTAAAGCACATTAGAACTATTTAAGCTTGTCAGCAGTCTCATAACCCCTTCCCTAATACAGCTAACTGTGCCCTCTGGTACCACTTTGATGAACTATGACATAATCATCTTTGTCACCCTTCTGATGCTACTTTGAGGAACTATGACATAATCATCTTTGTTACCCCTCTGATGCCACTTTGTGGAACTATGACATAATCATCTTTGTCACCCCTTTGATGCTACTTTGTGGAACTATATCATCATCTTTACTTCCCCCCCTATCACCTGTGGCAGCCAACCCGGCATGTGTCTGGAGTACTGAGATAACTACTAATGATACATTAGAACTAGTTCTATAATGTAGTCAATAAAGTCTTTGCTAACGAGACATTAGAACTAATTTTACTATGTAGTCAATAGTCCTTGCTAAAAGCACACGTTAAATCCTTCTTGAAATAGTGTACATTTCCTACTGTGTTAAATTGCAATCGTTTTCTTTGTTACTCATTATATCCATCTCTCGGCTACATTAGAACTATTCTACTGTGTAGTTACAAAAGCCTTTATTACACTTGTTTATCAACATATATATAACTTTTAAACAAAGTAAGCTATATATATATATATATATATACATATATCAGAACTACAAAATAACAAAGTAATTAATATACCAGTCTAACAAAAACAAAGACTAGCTAATTGACTTGTAGGATAGTTGGATGACAGAAAACAAGTGATTGTTATAAATGAAGTCCATTCAAACTAACCACTGTTACTATATATATATATATAGTGTAATACCTCAGAGAGAGCTTTTGCTCTATCTTATTCACATTAATAGCGATTAAGAAATACTTAATATATGAGTAAAACTTGCAAATGAAATTAAACTCTCGAGTATTTCTAAGTGTACTGAGAATGTTGGCCCATTTATTATTGTATTTGCTAATATGCTTCTGTACACAAATGTCTCCAAGGTGTGAAAAAAAGTATTATTTCCAAACAATGCCCAATAAAAGCTTTTTACTTAGGTGATGCCCCCCAGTGGCACAGTAGAATGTCTGCGGACTTACAACGCTAGAAACCGGGTTTCGATACCCATTGTGGTCAGAGCACAGAAGCCCATTCTGTAGCTTTGTGCTTAACTTCAAAACAAACTTAGGTGGTATTATTCTACTTATTCACTTATTGTTTTTTCTAGCACTATATATATATTTATATATATATATATATATATATATGTGTGTGTGTAAGAGAGAGAAGAGACAGTGAAGAATTACAACAGTATACTTAATTTCTTCACTTACAGTTCACTAGACGTAAACAACCATTCCCAAATTGTTCTTGCATTTGGTGATGTTCTTGCTTATAACATCTTGAATGGCTTTCATAATAGCTAAAGCAAAAAGGCTGAGCATAAAAAAATTAGAAAGAAGAAAAGTATCATTCTACAAAAGAACAAATTAAAGCTCAACAAAATTTTAACTTAAATTATAACAAGGTAGAGGTTTTCAACTTGGAAGGTGCAACTGGCTTCATCAACATTTTGCTGAATTATTTTCAGACTACTAGCTCTGTTTACTGTCAGGTTTGTTGCACCTTCTGAGATGAGGTACCACTTTTCATATAAACCTATACTTCTCTCCTCTTACCTTAGCTTCTCTTTATTGCTCAAATCTTCTATATGTTTCCTACATAGCCAAGGTGATAAAACTTTTGATACCTGAAAAGTATAATATTGCTACTATCAGTAAATGTTCAAAGAAATTATCTCCCATCACATATTATTATTCAGCTGTACAATAATCATAAATTAATAAATGACATATTAACAAGCATGACTAAAAGGAATGAAAACATGAATGTTGTAACCAAAGTTGTACTTTTTAGTAGTAGTTTAACTGGAAACAGCCATAACGTCATTGAACAACTGTGTATTATAAACAATATTTTCTAAAGATTTTTTAAAATAATATACAAACACTTCTATATTCATTTACACTAGTGACACATTTCAACATTACTTTATCAACTGTTAATAGTAGGTTATGTGCCTACCATGGTCATAATGGATAATGGGGAGTCAGAGTACAATTCTGGACAGAGAGAAAAATAAATGTCTACCACACCCAATAGGTTTGAAAACTACCCTTACCCAGCATGATTAGGTAGTGATGAGAGCTTAATTCAGAGTTGTTAAGAAAACACTAGGTAGTTTAGAGAACAATAAGGCTCATAGACCAGATAATACTCCCCAAGGGTTTTGAAGGAAGTTAAGGATTCAATATGTGAGCCACTTGATAATAGTTTTTGCAAGTCCTTGAATAATGGGCAGGTGCCAAGAGATTGTACATTTGCTAATCAGTAATGTTACTCCTCTTTTTTTCAAGGAAGTTGATAACAATTGTTCATGCAATAACAGGTCTATCAGTCAGTCTTATATTAGTGGTGGGAAAAGTTTTTAAAAGTCTGATAAAAGATGCTTTGCAAAGCCATTTAATAAAGTTTAAAATTTTGCTGGACAGTCAAACAAGATTTCACTAAGGAAAATATTTTACCTTACTATTCTTTTGATATTATTTGAAGAAGCTACCATTTACGTAGAGGGTAAGCGAGTGTATTTGGTGTATCTGGATTTTCAAAATATAATATGACAAAGTGACGCATAAAAGGCTTGTTAAAAAAAAAGTGTCTCAACAGGTATGAGGAATAAGTTGGCTCATTAGATAGAAAAGAGGCTGGACAGAAGGAAGCAGAGTATTGTTATAAATGAAGTTCAGTCAAACTGGATTAATGCTACAAGAAGGGTACCTCAGGGCTCAGTCTTAGGACCTTTGCTCTTTTTGATTTACATCAATGACATAGATGAAGGAATTGTCAATAAATTACATAAATTTGCTGATGATATTAAGGTCTTGAGTGTTGCTAGCTGTGAAGAGGATGCTGCTGCTTTACAAAAGGATTTAGATTTTATGGTTTGTTTGTCTTATAGCAAAGCCACATTGAACCCTGGATTTTAGTGTTCCAAGTCTACAGACTTCCCACTGTCTCATCTAGATTACAAGGTGAGTTGGGCAAATAGCAAATGGCTTTTAATTATAACAGTAACTGCAAGGTAATGTATATTGGTTATAATAATAGTGGTCAGGTAAGTTTTATCAAAGTTACAGCTTCCATTTACCAATAAGTTTTACTAATGCTACAACTATCAGTAATGAGTTTTATTAAAGTTACACCTACTAATAATGTGTTTTATTAATGTTACATCTACGAACAATATCTAGAAAAGATATTAGCATTCCAGCTGACTTAAGCCATCCACACAAGTACTTGTTTCTAATATTAGGGCAAACAGGATTTTAGGTTGTATTTACAAAAATATTGAAAATAAGTCTAAATTCTATTGCACAAGTTACTGATTAAACCTCATAAGGAGTATTTGTGTTAAGTCTGAGCTACTTATCTGAGAAAGGAGACTGAATTGTTATAAAAGGTTCAGAGGAGGACTACTAGGATAATATCTGGTTTGGAAAGGTCATCATAGAAGGACAGGTTAGGATTTCTGAAATTATTTTCTTTTCAAAAAAAGAAAGTTAGAGGAAATCTGATTGAGATCTTTAAGACTGTTAAAGGAAATTAATATTGTTGATGCATCATAATTTTTGTATTTAATGATGAAAAATATAGGACTAGGGGACGTAGATATAAATTTTGACAGGGCAGGAGTCATCTTCAAATAAGAAAGGTTATTTTTCTAACGTAGTGGTTGGCCTTAAGAATAGGTTACCTTCAGATGTGGTAAATGCAGTAAATTTAAAGGAGTTTAATGAAAGGCTTGATAAATATATAAATGATAATGGCTGGTTTTGATATTTTTTTCTTCATATTTTAATTTAGTTTTATTTACTCGATGAGACAGTCTAGATGGACCAACAGGCCCCTTGTTGTCCTTAAATTTTACATTTATGTTTAATTAAACTAGCTGACACTGAAAGTATAATTTTGTTAGAAAAAAAATGATGTTAATAGCAGATCAAATACAAACTAACCTGTTTTTCCATTGGTCCAACTGATACAGAGGAAAAAACATTTTTTTTGTCATCCTTTTCAGGTGCTAATAATTAACATTTTTAAAAAAACATGTTCATAACATTTTAACAACTATTTCATCTATAAATAATCAAATATTAAAGTATATGCAATTAATATAATTATAACATACAAATCAACATAATGTTAGGGTACACATTCTTTTATTTTAAAATCTCCACTAAATTCAAACTTATAGCAATTAAACTATAAGATTAGAAGTACAATACCTTTACTATAGATGCCTTTATTTCATCATAAGTTTCAGATAATGTTTCTTGGGATCAAAAGTCTCACTATTCTTTTCTTTTCAGGAATTTTAGAAAGCTCAATTAAATGAACGACTCATACCAATAATGAATTTTATCAAAGTTACATGTATCAATAACAAGTTTTATCAAAGTTACTCTTACTAATAATGAGATTTATCAAAGCTACATCTACCAGTAATGAGTTTTATCAAAGTCACAACTATAAATAATGGGTTTTAATCAGGGTCAGAATGATGTATTTTGTTACCCTGTGCTGCCTCCACCCTCCATTCCTGCCCTTTTGCCATTACAGAAATTACACCTCCCAAAAACCTGTTGCCCCATACATATGCATATGCTGTACACAAGGTTGCATGGGCTCTGGTTTTAGTAAAGCTACACCTATCAGTAATGAGCTGATTTTTCCCAAGTTTAAACCTATCACTGGCCAGTTGTCTCTCTCCCAATTTAAATCTACCAAAATAAGTTTTTCTTAAAGTCACATGTACCAGCAATGAGTTGCAAAACTCCCCAGTTTGAACCTATCAATAATAAGTTGAGTTCACTCCAATTTAAACCTTGAGGAGTTCAAGTACACTGATACAAGGTATCAAATATCTGCAATATACTGTAGACTCTGGAAATGTTAAGCAGAGTATAAAACAAACATGAACATCAAAGAAAAACACAAATAAACAGATCCTCTATTCACAAATAAACTAATACTTGGGTCTTTACTGAACTGGCCATCTTCAGTGTTAGTATTATGACTGCAATAGGTCAGAAGCACATTTATACAAGAGAAAGACAGGATCAAGGATCATGGTACACTGCATGTACTGTTGAGTCAGACAAATTTCTAAAGCAATCTGTCACAATTGTATATTAATTACATCAACTTTTAGTCCTATTACATATGGAAATGCACCCCCAACTTACAGTTTGTACAAGTCTGTGTACCACCTCTTAAAATGAAATGAGTACAACTTCACTCCAGGAGGGCATGATAAACACAGAACTAAGGTGTAGCTAGCTTGATCATTACTGAACAATTGCTACAGTATGTAACCTTTGCCAAAACTAGAAGATTAGCACAAGTTTGTGTCTTTTATACATATAGTTTACATGAATATCTTTATTTACATTCAGAGCATTAGAAAAATTCAAATGAATACAACTAAATAAAGATATATTCTTTGCTGGTTCTGGAAGTGAAATATATGTTGTTGTTTTTACTGCTATCACAACTTATCAATAATGATTTTCAATTTCTCACACCCTAACTCAATAATGAGTTTAGTTTTCATAAGTTTAAATTTTTCAATAATAATGGAAAATTCTTTAATTTGAAGCTACCAATAATGTCTTCAGACTTCTCTAAGTAAACTTACCAATAACAATATTTCTTTGAGATTTAGAAGAACAATCCTCTAGACTGCTGTTTAAACATCTTCTTACTGGGAACTTGTTGTACCTCACTTTAGCAAGACTGCTGTCTTGGTTAAACCTTGGAGGAGTAATAGGATGATAATGGTAGACAGAAGAACCATTACCAGGACTACGAAAAGAAACTCCTCGAACTGGTGTTATTGGTTCATTCTTTGAACCAATGTTGGTTTTAATACTTTTTCTGACACAAAAGAAAACAAATTTAATGAAATATTTCAATATCAAAATTATAAATTTGGTGGAATATTAAATTTGATTGAATACGTGCATTTCTTGGGTATAAAAATGAAGAAATACAGCTATTTCTTTTTAAATGTATGCAAATACATATTTTCAGAATATCAAAATCAATTTATGCTGCATAACTTTAGGTCATGCCAGAAACATTGACAAATATTTTAGGTTTTCACACACATTCTTATGAAAACACAGATTAATATGTTTAAGATCAAAAACTGCCTTACTTTGAACTTGACTTTCCTATGGATTTTTCAGATTTCTGGTTTTTCCCTTTTTCATGAGGTTGTGATTTCTTTAAAGACTTCTTTCTACGAGAGCTCTTACCAAGTTTTGATGCCATAACATAATTTTTTTCATCACTGTCATCTGAGACAAAGCTATCCAAAATGTTTCTGCGAACTGATGATAAAGTTTTTCGACGAGATCCAATATAGCTATTTCTTTTTCCTCCCCGTCCACGTTTCCTGGAATTACTAAGAGAGCTGCAGGGAGTTGCCTCAACAGTTGTTACACCTACTGGGCAGGATCCAGCAGACTTTTGTGATTTTGCACATAGAACAGGTGTTACAAGAGATGGCAAAGGTTCCTGTTTCCATAATCTAATATAAATAACAATACCAATTACAAAATTCAAAGTGTGGTAAAATATATTTTAAAAGAAAATCAAAGTAGCATATATTATATGCCTAACAACTGACTGAATTCCAAATGCTATGCTTATATGAGAATGATGCCTTTAAACCTCAAGAATGGGATATTACTGACTATAATCTGATAAACTGAAGTTTATAGTAGTAATGCTAGAGTGTCAGTTCTGAGTGTCGACACTCAAGTTAATGAACAGCAGACTGACGATTTATGATACATTTGAATCAAAATTCCATATAGGTTCATACAAAAACAAAATTTGATGATGGTGTTTTCAAGCCTTGTTCATATCCTTTGCATAATTTTATAATCTGTTCACTGCCTTTAGTTCATTCCTAAGGACATTTTGCAAATATAATTTGAGAAAATACTTTCATTACAAGTATAATATCTGCAACTTATTGGAAGTTTATGTACATTATTGTTACTTTTTAGTTTGCTTTTAATGTTAAGAAAAACATATTCAAATATATTAACATTTCCACAAGGTAATAAACGTTAGGTATCTGTTGGGTGGTAGAGACATATACATAGATTTTACCCTCATTATGGTCTAAATAATATTAAATGAGGTTGTCACAACAAGAAAAAGTTTCTGTATATTTTATTCTGATCATTTACAGTATTATATACTCCAGTGACACAAACAAATCCCATATCCTTTATCTGACCATTACAGTAACGGCATATAGTTTACACGAAACAGCTATTCATTTATTTTTATCATTTCTGTGGTCTTTTATTCACACTGCTTAAGCAGTATTACATGAAAAAATTTACATTTCTTACTTCTGGTTAATGAAGAAGTAACCTTTATCCTCTTCACATCAGCAGTATCATTTACTCTAATGACTTAAGTGTTATACTTTATTCTGATTTCTTAAGCAGCACCTTTTATTTGATCTCTTAAGTTGAATTATACTGTTCAACAACTAGATAACTCTTCCATATTTTTTGTTGTTAAGCTGTATGTATAGATCAAAGAAGCAAAATATTTATCCATCACATACACTTCAACAAATCACTGTTTCTTACCTAACCAGTATATTATATCCATGCTAAGCAAATGTAATCTGTATATCACAATATACACTAAGGTATATAGTCTTTAATACCTTAGCTAGTGCTTAATATTATTTTGACTTTTGAAATTTTCTAGAATCCATCTCAATTAGTCACAGAGATTTGATTATTTCAAGTAAAAAGAAAATAAATCATTACCTGTTACAAACAAAATCATAATCATAGTCTGCCAAGGAGTTTTGTTGTTCAAAAATGCTTTCTTTTTTCTCACTCAAAGTCATTTTCTCAGGAGTTACATTCTCTTTCCTGCTAGTACGTGACCTTCTAGAAGTATGATTTTTCTTACTTTCACATGCTTCTTTGTTGGTTTCTGTAACATGACTGGAGATATGGTAACTGTGCTCTACTGTAGGATAGACAGTAACAAAGGAATCCAACTTCGTACTAGTACGAGGAATCTAGTAAGGGGTAAAAAATCATCTTTAGCCAACTTCTAATAATATACTTTCTCAATAATAACTTATGATCAAAGCAAGCTACATACACAGGTCAGAACTAAAAATATATCAAGTAACGAGCATAGCTATTTAAACATACTGTTCAAACTATCTTACTTATAATGATTAAAGTAAATTGTTTCATCAGTTGAATACCTTCACTGTTAATGATGTTTATGGCTGCAATATATGTTGTAAGAAGTTTTGCATTAGCAGACAATATAACATTATTTTATTAACATATTAATAACTAGACAACACATTAAGATAAAAATCAAATTAATTCAAACTACAAGCTCATAGTTTATGAGAAGAGGATAAGCTGTAATTGTTGATTAAGAATTCAAATTCTACAACTAATATTTAAATTCACATATCAATAAACCAGAACCTAACAGGTTTTTTTAGAAGGCAGTTTTAATATTTCTTGGTAAACAAGTGTTAATAACATGAGTATTAAGTAAATTTTTTATTAGTATCCAGTTTTTATTATATTATTTTCATAGGTGTATAACATCTAACCTATATAAAAGCCAGTGTGTGTCACATCACACTTAATTTCTCAAAATAGAAGGAGTCATAAAAGCTAAAATGCATTTATCCAAATATAATAGCTTGATTACTGTCTATCCATTACAATTTTAATGACAAGGGTGCAAGGGGACCATGAGAGGGATACTATGAAACCTTATAAGTGTAGTGAGTGTTGGAATAATAAGCCCAAAGTAAACACATAGTGTGGGATCACCTAGCCTACAGCCAATTGCATACAATTTTTTTACTATGAAAGTAAAAATATTGATTCAATTTTAAACTTAAATTGTTTCTGAATTAAGCTATTTTCTGTTATATCATCACTGTTTTTAACAAAAAGCAAACCTCTTTAATCAATGGAGACTTTAAATTAAAAAATCAACAAATATTTTCCCAGTTTTGTTGTCTATACATTTCATTTTATACTTTAAGTACATAGACTAACAACAATATTAGGTTATACTTTTGTTGCTAAGCGACATGACATAAAAGCCATTGTTGGAATGTAGTATTACCAAAATGCATTAGCTTTTCTATAGTTGTTAATCTAATTGATTTTTACCAATAATTATTCTATGAATATGCCACGAATTCATTTCATGAATGATCTAAATTTTGATTGGCTCACAAAGGAATGTACCAACTTTTGTCTGCCTCTTTGTTGGTCAAGCTTGATTTTGCTAAATCTATTTATTTCAGTTAGCTATGAAATGTGTCTTATCTTTATAGACTTATCTTTATAAAGTTCATATTCATAAAAAAACAAAAAAAGAGAATATTGTAATCATCTCATTCCAAGCTGCAATTGTTTTTCAGTCTTGAGAAAATTTTAAAACAACAAACATATAAACTCATATAACTTTTCATAAAAATCATAATATTATACATTCTTAAAATGACTATGTGACTAACAAACTTTATGTTTTTTTATTCTGTCTTATTTATTATATAGTATTCAAAGACCTACAATTTCAAAATGGCATTTACGGTACACAACAGTTACTGAGATTTAAAATATTCTTTAAATATTTATGGGTTTGAATCCCAATATGATTTATAACAAAAATAAGGAAGTCAAGAAGCAATTGGTATGACTTGACATTTATGGAAGTTGGTATTTCATACTTGTTTACTATCTTAGGCACTTTACATTTTCAGTAATTTCCAAAGTACTTGTTTAGGAATTTCAACAGTGAAATTACCTTGTTTTTATCTAGTGACAAAGTATTAGCTTTACCTTCACCACACACGTGTCTCTTTCTGGGATAAGAAACAGTTCTTTGAAGATATTTTTCCTGTTTAACACTAAAAAAATAAATCTCTTTATAAATCAACTTAGAAACTCCATATACAATTTCACTTCTTGGTAAGGCAAAATACATCAATTATTACATAATAAGAACACAATTATAAATATATAATACAGGCCAACATTGTAAAATATGATAAAGCATAGGCCAACAATCCAGTCATCTCACAATACAAAGAATGTTAAATATATATATATGTAATTGAACAAAAACTGTTATATACGTAGCACAGACAAACAGTATTTGCCACTCTATTATAACACACTAATAAATATACACATACCAACAGCATAGTACATTCTAACACTACCCTTATTAAACATTTATAGTACATATTAACAGGCTATTTATCTTATAACAAAACACTTTTAAATACGTGCAACATTTATTAAGTCTAATAACCATTTACTGAATTTCATTGCAAATATGCTGTACATTCTAACAGCCTTGTTACATTACAACACAAAAGGATGACTGCAAGTAAAAAACCAGGTTGACTCACAAAGGATAAAAATTAATGAAAAGAATTGTACATTTAAGAAGTTTAAATTGACTGCTTTGAAAGGAGATTTAGAGAATTATAGAATGTGAAGAGAGTTGGTTAAAAAGGAAATTAGAAAACTGAAAAGGGTATGATAAAGGATTTGCTGAAAATGTAAACATAATAGTAGGAATTTCTTTACATACAATTAGGAATATGTAAAATATTAGGACCCTTGAGGGATGATATAGGAAGTCTAATATCTGATGATTATTTTTCTTTAATTTTCACTGAGGAAGATTTAAGGGGGTTGGTTTATGCTAACATACTATAGCCACTTATAATCTTAGAGACTTTTTTGCTCGTTTTTCTATAAAGTTCATTCAGTTGTAATATAGAAGATTAACACCTGAACAATATTCTTTTATATTTCAAGTAACAATATAGATGTTTGATCACACTTTATAAGACTTGTATATACTGACATGTCACTAAAGTTTAATTCAGTGCATAATATTTATGGCATCTATATATATATTTGATTCATCACTGCACTATCAAAATGAGCAGAATTAATAATGAAAGAATATATCACGCTAATTCTCATTACTACATAAGCGTGGCCAAAATCTCCAGATCTAACCTGAACAACCAGTGAAGGATACTGGTGTTGATATTCTTACATAAGATCATATTAAGCAATGTTCTCTCCAGACAGGTATTGCCTACTTCAAGAACACCAAAGGAACTTGAAATATGATCAACATAGCAGTTTTTCTTTCAACAACCTGCCACTGATTTATGTGCAAACTACTTCATAACTGTCTTGGGTTATCTTAGCTACTGGCTAGTTGCCATTGTTTATTGATGTCACCTGTGACCCATGAAACTCAAGCATTTTTATTCTGAAGCATAATGAGATAAAGAATCACAGACTGAGCTTGGCCGAACTAAATCTTTTCAGCTAAAATTTCTCATATGTAAGGGTTATTTATCTGTACAGTTACTATAGCATATAAAAATATACACTCATGCAAAACATAACTTTTTCGCTGTATGTAGAGAAGTTATATGCATTATAGATGTGTACCTGCAATAAAGATCTAGCAAAAATAATGCCATATTCTTCCTTGAGCTTTCACTGCTCTGCTAGATCAGATGAGTAATTCTTGTGAAATTTCTCAATACTTCACCTAAAAATAATCAAATAGTAACTTGGAAATCAAGGGTCACAAAGCCCTTTCAACTGTTTTTCAGACTCCTACTTATCATCTTTAGTTGTGCAAACTTGTTGTGAAACTATGCTCAATAACTCAGAAAGTGAGGGTTTCAAAACCCTTTTGATCCCATTGATCTTGTGATTATGAAACTATCTTAACTTAAATGATCAAATGGTAATTATACAATATAGTGTATACACTGTACCTTACAATACCACCTGACAGCTAAAAAAGCAAGGTTCACAACTGTCAGGTTTTGTATGGGCTGGATTCTTTACAATAGGTGACTGTGACTTGTTGGTGATAAAGTTCAACAATAAACAGACACCACACAATTCACTTGTTTTAAAATAATATAATCACAACAAGTCAAATGTATATACAAGTATACATTACATAGATAATCAACACATTTGTATCCAGAGCTTTAAATAATTCTCTTTTTTTTATCAAAAGTCCACATAGGCTGGTTCAGTTACCTTAGAACCCAACTGACAAGACACATTATACTTCTCTACTCTGTTATCACAATAAAATCAGTGATAAATTCGCTTACATTACCCCACTGGTTACCACAGTTGTATCCAGAGCTTTATGTAATTCTCTTTTATGTCAAAAGTTCAGACTAGTTCAGTTAATTTAGAACTCAATTAACAAGACAAATTATTATTCTCTACTCTGTTATTACAATACAATCTGCAATTATTACACTTTAAACATCACCACTATAACTTTTGGTTACCACAATTGTATCCAGAGCTTTAAATAATTGTGTCCTTTTCATCAAAGTCTACAAAAGTGGGTTCAATTATTTTAAAACACCCTTTGACAAGACAAATTATTCTCCTCTATCTCTGTTATTACAATACAAGCTGTGATACTTTCACTTTAGAAATTGCCACTATAGATTCTTTATGGCTAAACTCACAATCACATAGTCTAACTTCACTTTCTTTTTTAAGTTTCACTTTAGAAATTGCCACTATAGATTCTTTATGGCTAAACTCACAATCATGTAGCCTAACTTACTTAACTTCTTTGTGTATCTGCATGTATTTATAACATGCGACAAAAAAATCTAGCCTTCTAGTAACAACATTACACATAATAAGAAAAACTTAGAAGCTTCAAGTAAGATGACGTCAACAAGATTACAAGAACCTAGTACAGCAATTAAACTGCATATACACTGTACGACTTGTACAGAGTTACATAACAAAACTTGTCATAACTATCTTTTTTAAAATAATTAACTTTTAACACACTTGTAATGAAAACTAAATAATCATTAAATATTAAATCACTAAATGAACTAATTAATAACTCTTAAATTGAACAATCTTGTATATCCAACATCACTCTTTCAGGTGATATTTCAAACTCCTAACTATCATCTTTAGTTGCACAAACTGGTAATGAACACCTACTGAAACAAGCCATCTTAATTTTATGGCATTCAAGTGGAAATCACACAAAATATTGTATACGCTGCATAGTGAAAATCACATAATAGCTTGGAAACCAAGGATAGCTACTTCCTTTCAATCACTGGGTGCTCAATGTAATGATTGTCTTGGTTGCTAGGATTAGGTTTAATCTCTGTACAGATGATCACACCCAGTCTTGGACTCACCAGACACCAATCCATCATGATTATTTTCAATCAGCTGCTCTTGGTTAAATAGATTTTAACAAATATCCTTCCTGAATCTGTGGCAACAATGAGAAAGAAATCATGGCCCTTTGCAGCATTGTCAACCAACATCCATGAGAAGACTTCTCCTAGACCTGACAGTCCTCTCAGACAACTGTCTCCCCTCAGCGACCAACTCTCCCTCTTGTTCACAAGTTCTTTGAGTAGTGAAAACTTCTATTTTCTCTAACACAAAGCCTATTTAAACTTTTTAAAACTTATTATCACAAGAGTTCAAGTAGAGAAAAGAACACACTTTACAGATATAGCAAATTCCACAAAATTTTCTTTTTACCTATCCAGTCTTTGATATATTCAGGTGAACTGAATATTTTTTCAGGCTATAGGATAGGTCTGATAAACAACAAGAGAGTTGCTCATGATATTGATTACAGAGTAGTAATAGATCTCTTTTAAATGAATTGATTTAAAATGGTGTAATGAGATTGGACACAAAGTGAAATTTAAATTGAACAATCTTTTTTTAGTACACATTAAACGTAAACACAGTGTGTGCACTTTCATTTCACTTACACTGGACTGTCATTTTTTTGGATCACTAGATTGACTCTGATGAACAAGTTCTACTAGACTATCTTCAATGACATTTCAAACCAGATTGCCAAATCCAAGGTTTCTTAGTTTTCAAAATATCTTAAATTTACCCAGAATGACATAGTCTATCCAAGGGATTAATAATTTTCATTGCTAGATATGGTGGAGCTGTAACTTCTAGATATAACCTGAACAACCATTGAAGGTCAATGCTGTTCACAGGGTTTTATTAAGTATTGTTATCTCCAGGCAGTAACAGGTGTTATCTACTTCAAAAATAACATGGGAACAAAGGTAAGTTGAAATAACATCAATTTAATTTTCTTGACCAAATTATATGAAACTGAATAAATATTATAACACTAAAAGAGGAAAAAAACACATGGTATATTCATATACTTCATTACATATACTTCTATTTAAGCATCAATAAATATCACTGAATGTAATGAGGTACATGAATTTAAGTATATCATTTCAAAAACTTTGTTTTATTATATTTATTTACTCTTACTTGTTTTGAAGTTGATTTGATATATATAACTGCACTGAAACTCTGGGGCAACTTGTATATCAACATCATAAAATTATGGCTTTGTTGATAAAAAATATTAATTAAACATTAAACATCAGTATATTTGAGGTATAAAAACTAGCAAATATACAGTGCCTTGTAAAAGTATTCACTCCATATCAATAATGTCACATTTTGATGAAACTTGCTTTCGTTCAAAACTCTAATGATCAAACTTAACACTGTTATGTGTGAAGGAGGATGAATGTTAGCAAAACCTGCAAAGAAAATATCAAATTGAAATTTCCTGATTGCATAAGTATTCAGTCCTCTAAGTCAGTATTTGGTGGAAGCACCTTTGGCAGCAATTACTGCTGTGAGTCTTTTTAGATAGGTCTCTACCAGCTTTACACAATGGGATGGTGTAATTTTTGCCCATTCTTTCTGGCAAAATTGCTCCAATTCTGACAAGTCTGTTGGGAATCTTTGATGGAGTGCAACATTCAAATCTCACCATAAATTTTCCATTGAATTCAAGTCAGAACTTTGCCTGGGCAACTTCAAAACATTCACTTTCTGCTTTTAAAACCCCTCCAATGTGCTTTGGGTCATTGTCCTGCTGAAATGTGAATTTTCAACCCAGTTTTAGATTCTTGGCTGACTCAATCAGGTTTTCCTCTAGGATTTGCCTGTATTTCGCACCATCCATCTTTCCCTCAATACTGACAAGCTTCCCATTCCCCACTGTTGAGAAGCATCTCCATAGCATAATGCTGCCACCACCATGGTTGACAGTTGGAATGGTGCTGACTGGGTGATGTGCTGTATTCAGCTTGCGCTAGACGTAATGTTTTGAATTTAGACCAACAAGCTAAATTTTTGTCTCATCTGACCAAAAAACTTTCTGCCACATGTCTACAGTATCATTTATATGCTTTGTCGCAAACTCCATAGGATATTTAAGATGATTCTTTTTTCAGTAATGGCTTCTTTCTTGACACTCACCCATACAGACCAGCTTTGTGTAGGGACCAGGATATTGTAGATGTATGGATACTGACTCCAATCTCAGACATGAAACTTTGCAGATTTTTCAAACTCACTGTTGACTTCATAATGGCATCCTTAACCAGTTTCCTGCTTGGCTGGCTGCTTAGTGTGGAAGGACAGCCTAATCTGGGTAGTATGAAGCACATTCCACTTCTCAGTGATGGATTTCACCATACTCAAAGTGATAATCAGCAACTTTGAAATTTTTTTGTAACCTGTTTGTTTTTGAAGTTAAGAACAAAGCTACACAATGGGCTATCTGTGCTCTGCCCACCACGGGTATCAAAACCCAGTTTATAGTGTTGTAAATCTGTAGACATACTGCTGTGCCACTGGAGGGCATTTTGTAACCTTCTACTGATCTGTGCTTCCCTATTATTTTATCACTTACTTGTTTGGAAGTTCCTTGGTCTTCATGGTTGGTTTGTCATATCACTATGTGAGTTGTGGCTTGAACAGAAGCATTTACTCTGAAGTCAGGTTAAACCACTTTGATTACACACAGACAGAGACCATTACACTAATTTTGTGACCTTTCAAACTAATCTCTTGCACCTGAACTGATTTAGGGTTGCCTTAGCAAAGGAGTTGAATACTTATGTAATTGAGAATATTGTAATGTTCTTTGAAAATATTACTTACATAATATCAGCATTTTATTAGCTTTCCCAATATGGAGTAGATTGTGTAGATTCTAAATATAAAGTCCCATTTGAAAGTTTCATGATTGCAAGCTCATACAGCAACAAAATGTGGAAACTTTGCAGGGGGGTGAGTATTTTTGCAAGGCAATGTACATATTGAACTGTTAACTTTCTGATTAGTAAAAGAGAGATATTATACTCTATTTAAACATAAAAACAGGCATAATACTGTTATCTATTTTTTAAAAAGTTAAAAATTACTAAGCAAACTTAGAAATTAAAAATAAATATTTTCTTGTAATGTGTGTACATAATGTAAAAACATATTTAAAACTCAAAGTGATTTAATACAAAATTCTTTAAACTAACCCATTATTTTCCTTGGCTTCTTCTAAACAAAATATTTCTTTGTAGTAATCCAAAGTGTACATGTGGGGCAGGGTTTTTTCATTATATCCATCATGTTTTGCTGAAAAAATAATGCCCCAAAGCAAGATTTTGCTTCAAATTGTTGCTTCATTTGAAATTTCACATTATGTTTTCAACAGGTACATTTGTGACCTTAAAAACATGAAAACAGTAATGATCGGCATAGATTTCTTAAGTTTGCTTTTAACAAGTCTTATGGATCAGGATTTTCTAGTATTTAATTTAATGATTTGTACACCTTGCTGTATAGCAGAAAGATTCTTAAACAATTAATCACTTCAACAGTAATTAAAAAATATTAAAAATATAAATAGAAAATATATCAACACATAGTATAAAATTCAGATTACATGCCATTAAAAATATCAATATTTTACCTTTTTCTTTTATCAGAAACTCCACAGTGCTTTCTAAAAACTGTACATGGTCAATAGATGCTTTTAGAATTTCAGCCTGAAAAACAAAATATTCAAACATATAACAACACAAAAATGCTATGTTATTATCCATTTTGGATCTATCTATTCTAACTAATGCTACATATGTGGTATTCAGGTACACTTTTTGACCACTAGGTAGTTAAAGTATCTGGCCAGAAAACATGGATTCAGGAAATATATATGTCCAGGAAGAATTTCAAAAACATACAGCAAATGAAATACAAATTATCACAGGTAAGCATAAATCTCCAAACCTTACCAAAACCTCCTAGAACATTATTTAGTTTATGATTAAAAAAATTTGAAAAGGTAAGGAACCCAACTAATGAAATAATGCATTTTAATCTTTAAGTTAGAACACAAAAACATTATAGTTAATTAGCTGTACTAAGTAGGCAGTAGCTTGATTTGATTTGAAGATAATATAATATTAAATAACCTTTATTCACATATGCCCATGTAAGTCAACTACCAAATTTTGGCCAATTTCTATGCTCCATAATGACTATTCTGGGGCTGCTTTTGTCTGTTCCATTTCCAAAGAGAAATTGTTTGGGGAATGGGGGGGGGGGTGTAAGTACAAATTTGCTGGCTAAACAAATCTAATGGCTTAAAATTTTAAACCATGCAGATTAAAATTAGAAATTGATCAATATATATAAATATACATACTTTGCTACATAAATGTACATAAAACATGAAGCATGTTATACATGTAAAATGTAACAAAAATGTAGCAACTGTTCAAAATTGTGTAGTTGCTAAAGTGCAATTTTATTTGGAAAATAACATTACTTTTATCATATACTCTCAGTAAATATAACATATTTCCTTTTGTGATTAATGTTTCTATAGAGTATGTCTTTTTTTCCATTTTGAGTTATAATTTATCAGCAGTATTGAACTCAGTTGTTTGATTAGTAAATATAGCAAATTTTTTAATGTGATGTGTTCAAATAAAAACATCTACAAATAAATATTACCATGTATTTCATGTTACAAAATATCAATCTACCTATGATCCTTTTCTTTTGGCCTTAATAAAAATATTAAATTAATTTTATTGCCTACCTATACCTACCCACCCTACTTATTTTCAAGATAAAATAAGAAAAGGCACTTTTTTGTTTGGTTTCAATAAACTTATAATTTTTGCTTTATATAAGGCTTATATCATAGAAATAGATCAAGTTTCTCTTCTTATTTACTATGTAATCTATAACTTTATAATGCAAAAAAAAAGGTTTGAAGATGACACAATACCACAAACTAACCCTTTATATTTCTCTTTTCATAAATTTGAATGGATTATCTGAAGCATCACCCATGCTGTACAGTATATATCTCCCCTGATGTTGATTCTTATTGTGTCTTGTTCTATAGTCATCATTACATATGGCTCCACACCCCTACCTCAAACATTTTAATTTTATATGTTTGATTTGCTAGTGTTATTGATATTGAAATAACTGCCAAAAGATGGCAGACTACTCTTTCATGTTTTTGTCAACAAAAGACTCTTCCTCAAAAATCTGGTTATAAGAATATTTTGTACATTTTGAAGTATTAGATAAAGTAATAGTTATTTTGTGCTCCAATTCCATATTACTTTCACTAATGTATGTATGTTGTCCCCTGGTGGGACAGCATTGAGTTTTTGGATTTACAATGCTAAAATCAGAGGTTCAATTCCCCTTGGTAGACACAGCAGATAGCCCAATGTGGCTTTGTTATAACAAAACACACACACACACACACACACAATGTATGTATGTGTGTTTATAATGTATGACTTGTACCTTTAATCAGTTGTGATATATGAATATATCATGGGTTTCTATCTTCTTTTAGTATTATAATATTTATCCTGAATTCATTCTTTGTTCTCAATATGTACAGGTGTCATAATACACATGGTCAAAGAAATCTTGTAAGTTAATTTTACTTCAAGCTTCTTTTATTGTTCTCAAAAATAGATAATACCTGTTACTACCTAGGGAAAATATTGCTTAATATGACACATTGATTAAGGATTTCAACAGCAATGCCATTTAATGATTATTCAGGAGAAATACAGAGTTTAAAAAAAAAACATTGTAGTGAGAATGAAGAGTCACTTAGGTAGTGCATGTTGCTGTTGGTAAATGTGAGGTTTCTTGTGATTTAAAAAATGTGGTATTTAACTACTCTGGTACATGGTTTCAACATGAACATTTGGAAGAGAAAGAGAGAAGCCAGTGAAAGTGATTGTCCCATGTAAGCAAACAACAAATATACACACTGTGTTTGTGTTTTGTTGTAATAATAAAGATTATGAATTTTGTGTACAGTCTCATTATTCCATTTTACGACACAGTCAATAAGAGGTTAGTATTACTCCATAACCAATATCTTATCAAATTTCCTGTTATTTAGCAGACCTATCCAGCATAGCTTTAAAGTTAAATTCAGCTATAGCTGTATATACCACAGAGTGGATAGATAGAGGAAAATTCTGGTACTGTGACCACAGGATATCATGATTAGGGAGTTTTCTATGTCTGTTAAAATGTGTACAGCTCTTTACTTGAATTCTTATGCCTTAGGTATCAAAAGGTTTCTAAGTTAGAGAAGATGCTATTTTTGACGACTAAAAGGAATTGTGATCATGAAGAAGAGACAGTCACCAAGAGAAAATGTCTGTCCGAGAGAGTTATTAGGATAAGAGAAGCTCTTTCTTGGGCATAGACCTTTTGTCAATGCTATGCAAATCCATATCTCCTATCTTATTGTGACCAACTCCCCAAGATGGAGAACTACCAGAATCTGGTGGGTGCACCTAAAATGGTTATTTGAGTTCTTTCCCTGATGCTCAATCTCAGTGTGAAAGAAACACAGAGTGAGGATCATCTCTGTGGTGTAGAATCTGGTGAACCAGAGACCAGTTCAGGCAGTCTGTAGAGAACTCCTTGACCTATGCCAGCCTGAGTAATTCAGCCCCAGCTCTAGTTAAAGTCATCTAAAACTAGCCATTAGTGAATGAAGGCCTGTTGATGAATGAAGTATGTTAAATGGAGCCATACAAGTGCCAAATGACAAGGTGAGTGATTCATGAGGCAGTGGTGCACCTCTTCAACTCAAGAGGTGTACCACTAATGTAAATATAACCGAAGTAAGTGCTTGGAATCCAGTAAAGCTGATGAATTAACTGCCTAGAGCACCTCATCACTCTTCCAACCTGGATCAGAAGCTTAATGCTCATTAGAGCATCATGGCCCCTGAGAATCCCTATGTGGCAATGGTTTCAAAGACATCTTTGTCAGGTGATGGCTAGGAAGGAGAGATACTGACCATGATCATGGGACCCCATGAGTGAGGTGAAACAAATAACTCTGCCAACAACTAAAGGTACAACAAAGGAAGATTTAGACCATTTTATGAAAGGCTTCAGTCAGTTACCTGGAATGATAGGACTCTGGAACAGGCTATAGAATGCCTGGTTCTGAGTCTAGACCAATGGTTCCCAACCTTTTCACCACCAAGGACCTCCATGTTTTTTGAAAGATTCCATCTACCCAACAAACTGTTTTTCTTACTAATAATTAACTTGTTTTTCCATTTTTCACTATCAAATAAAAGACATATATAACTGAGTGTGCAATTAAAAGAACAGCAGAATTAAAAACTTACTTGTTTAATAAGATGGTATTATCTTCGTGGACCCTCAGGGGCCAGGGATCACAGGTTGGGAACCACTGGTCTAGATGATCCAGCCACATGCTCCATCTAGCATTTGGATGAGGGAACAATTATTGGATTGTAAAACAGCCACTACTGAGTTGCACTAGAAGTTTGATTTGGTGACAAACTAAGCAATCCATTAAAAGTTCAAGGCTTGGAAGAGAGGTGCCACTGAAAACTTGGCTATTTATGTAGATGATATGTGCCAATTGCATGATAAAAGTTATCCTCCAATGACCCCAGCAGATAATGAAGAAATCCTTATAGACATGTTTGTGGATGCGCTACCCAGCAAAACAATGCAGACCTGGATGTGTGACTTTCACACCCTTACTGGAGCAATCTCTGTCATGATGTAGTAGAAAGTGATAACCTTGAGCCTACCTTATGAGAGTAAGAAGCCTGTAACATCAGCTGTAGTGACTTTACCTCAGATGGACTGTCCTATCTAGGCACCAGCATTGTGGCAGGTTCAAACCCAGCCAAAGGTTAACACATCCCAATATTCTAATACAACCACATTGGTATCCAGTGAATGGGTAGAACTATCAAAGTCTTTTCATGGTTTATATGCCACAACACATGCCACTGATGACTCTATCCACATGTCTCCTGGATGAGCAGCAAGGTAGACAAGGCTATTGGTTTTGACTTAACTAATAATGGCCAGACTGACCCAAGAAACAATGGACAGCATGAGTACATATGGAAGAAAAAGACACAGCACCCTTATGTACACAAGTGGTGTCCTATAGTCTACTATATACAATGTCTGGTGCATCAATACCATGTAATGCAGTTATTAAACCCAAGCATAAATAGGCTGTTTTCTGTCTCGAAAGCAAGCAGCATTAACTTGGGTAATTATCTGTTCAAAGAGGATGAAATCCTGGTGTTGTTCTGCAATTATGAACACTTGGTTATCCAACTACAAGCTGGAATAGTCATCAGGAGCATAGTAGAAGCAACTGATGCTAACAGTAACTCTAAGGTTGTGTTAATTGCAGTGCATCTGAAAGTAAATACATGGACAGCAATATGCCAAATATAATTAGTTCAGGATAGTGCTGACAACCTGAATTCAAGACAGAAGCAGCAACTATGTAATTTTTTAGTGGAAATTGATAATATATTTATGGGACTAGATGGTCAACTGAGTCAAACCACAGTCACACAACATTACTCAGATACAGATAATGCTCACCTAATTAAAAATAAACACCATAAAGGCTCTCCTAAAGTACTAGAGGTGTGATCAGTGCAGAAGTACAGCAGATGTTAAATTACAGAATC